TATTTTTGTGTTTTGTCTGAATTATGATTCCTACAACTGAACATGAAACAGGACAAAAAAGAGAGTTCTGCTTACAGTATAATCCAGGATCAATTCAAATATAACACTATTTCCATAAAACTATCAGGAAAGTACATTTAGAACTTCTGCTTTAAATACTGTATTTATTTTGACCAATACATCAATTAAGCCATGGATTACTTATAATTCCAAATATTTATTTATTGGATTTAGACTACCTCTTCTGGATAGAATCATTATGCAATAAATGAAACATACAAAGGTATTACATAAAGAACTATAATACAATTTAAAATAGTTTATATAAAAGTTTAAATGAAAACAATTAGTCTCTTGCTAGAGCTAAATTTTCCTTCCAAGTCCACCTCTTTTATGAAGCAAATCCTGTTCCTTATTGTGAAATATATTAACATAACAAATGTTTGTTAATTTTTTTCTTTGTGCAAAAAATCTAATTATCTATATTCTGGTATCATTATTGGTATTGACTAGTGATTTTATCATTTCTGATTCCTTGTTATATGATGGAACATTTCACTAGTTCTTATGCTTGTAAGCTTATACTTACAAGAATTGCCTCATCAGTGATGGTATGTAGCTTTGTCATCCTCCTGGCCTTTTTAGTGATTCACCAAGATTCTTGCCTTCATATTATGTATTCAAACTTGTTAAAGTTTAGCTTTATTATTATTGCTTTCAACAAATGAATCATCCTGCATTATTTAGCATTTGATTCTTTATTCTTCTTGAGGTCTAAGGTGTTCTCCAACCCCATCATTCAAAGAGATCATTATTTTAATTCAATATTTCTGTCCTGCTTTTAGAGCTATTACAACCAAGAAAAACAATTGACTGTACATAGCTTTACTGTCAATATGATGTCTATATGTTAATACTTCGTCTAAAACAGTCAGAAATTATTTTTCAAGTATGAAATATGTATTTCATAACTGTCACCATCTCTATGAATTTTTGAACCTAGGAAGATAAATAATTTTGTTATTACTTTGACAATATATTTGCTAATTTGCATTGATTTGGCATTGTATGTTGACATATTTCTTTTATTTTTTAATATTGAGGAAAGACTGACTTCTCCACTTCCCACATGAGATTTCTTAAATGTTCCTTGTTTTCAGCCATCATATGGTATTATCAGCATATCTAAGACTACTGGTGTTTCTTCCACAACTTCTGATTTCAATTTCTTGTGTCTGCAGGTAATCTTATAAAGAGAGTGACAGTGTACAACTGTGATGTTCTTTTTTCCAAATTTTGAATCCCTGAATAGCTCCATATTCTGTTTTAATTGTTTCTAGTCATGAAACAGATTCTTTGGGTAGATAAGGCAATTTAAAACATTTTAAAGGGCTATCCACAACATCTCTTAATTTACAAAGTCAAATGTTTAGTATAATCAATAAAGCATAAATATACATATTTTTGGAACTCTAATGCTGTTTCCATTACCTATCACATATTAGCAATATAAACTCATGTGCCTCCCAAGCTTATCCATCTGGCAATTTTCATCCTATGTACTAATGAAGTCTAGACTGCAAAATCTTGCTTTGGTAAGGTTTGATCTTTTCCAGTCCCTTGACCATTGCTGCTTACAAATCACATGTATCACTCTAAATGCATAATCTGGTAAAAAATTTAAATAGTTCATCCAATCTTCTAGTTTAGCAGTGTTTTTATAATGCCATTATATCACATGTCTGATTCTAGTTGATGATCAAACTTGAGGCAATTATTTTATTGTTTCTTCTTTTTTCAGTTTTGGTCAATGTTATCATCAGATAGCCATTACATTTTTTTTTACATTCCAGGATATATTTTAATCACGACACAAATTGCAATTCATAATTTTTTCAGTTATCCATTTATTCATTCAATATATTAATTTCCCCATGGAATCACACAACTAGCTTGTATGATAAGTTTTAATTTTATAGAAATTTTACAATTTGAACCACAAATTGGCTTTGTTGAATGAACAGTGCATCTCCATCTTTATAAGAGTATATAAGAATACATATGTTACATATCATTGTAGAATACTACCATTATATTCATGATTATCTTTGGAAAGTTACCAGAAACTTCAACTGATTTAGCAGAGAAACAATTTACAGGCCAAGTACAACACAGCATTATCTTTTCATTTATTAAAGAACTATCATAGTGGCTGGTAATTTGTTTTCAAACACAATTCAAAATGCTAGTGTTATCAAGTATTAAATAAAAAAAGAGTGATTTCCACCAAATATTTGGAAGTAAGAATGACATGGAGTAAAAAAAGGTGCTGAAACAAGAACAGAGACAGATTCAAGTCCTACCTCCACTAAAGAAACTGTCATCGTAACTTCTGACAAGTCATTTTTCTACTGTCCCATCTACCTCATGAGATATTTGTGATACTTATTATTTTTTCATCCTGGTACAATAATCTTGTAACTCTTGTTGGTTCCCTTAGCTCCTTATAAAAAAGTTATAATTTTCAAATAAAATAGTTTTCCCATCATGCTACGGTATAATTACATTTTTTTCTGTGATGAAATGATACAATACTTGCATTCTATTTAAATAAATTAAAGGTTAATTGGATATTTCCATGTAGGGAAAGCAGACAGAAATATAAGTACCTGGAGGTGAGTCTAATGGAGGCAGTTGACAAAATAAGAAAAATAAAAGCAGATAATCTATAAACAAACAGAGAAATCCATTGATAGCCTTCATAATTGTTTGGCTAGGAAACACTCAGGGTTTTTCCCTGACTCATCTCTAAACAGAAGCAACTTATATACTACCTGTTCATCCTTTATTATTAAACTATTAATTGTTCATAATCAACTGGTTCTCTACGTAAATAAGATAGAATCTAATATCCTACCTCCATGTAAAGTATAGACAGAATACTTTAGAATGTATTCTATCTGTTAGAAGATTTAGCAAAAAAGAGATAACCTCAATATAAGAACTGTGGGAATGGTGACTGTTTAAAAAAACAACAACACTCATCTCCAAATTAAAAACTGTGCCATTTCTGACTAAATAGATCTAATTTCACTATACTGTCCCTAAGCAATTTCATCCAATGTTTTTCTCTTCCAGCTGGATGATTTTTACTCCTCTGTTGCAGTGATTTGAGCTCTTATTTCCTGTTTTTTAAACCCACAATCCAGAAACTATAGAATGCTTTTGATTTTCCACTCCAAGATCTGAGAGAAAGTTCCAGACTTAGATGAGAAAATTCTTTTTCCAGTCTTCCTGCTTTTTTCCCCCTGATGTCAAAAAGGTGAGAAAGAAGAGGGACTGAGCAAAGGTCATTCAGGGAAACCATAGAGCCTACTGTTTCTAAGGCCACTGGGCTCTCTATAGTCCACCTGAATAGTATGACTGTGCACAGCTTGCAATGATTCAGTCTTTGTAATAGTTTTAAGAATACTTTTCACTGTTTTCTGACAGCCAAAACTAAAATAGCTATATATTTTTTTAAAAAAGTGAACCGCAAAACCCTGATACCCAGCAATACATTTGAGCCACAATCAACACCTGAAAAAGCTATCAGAGTACTCAGTCTGATCTTACTGTATGATATTTAAATCAAATCCACTTTAATTATATCAGCCTAAGGTCAAGAGTTCAGATTTTATTTTCAGGCCTGTGATTATAGAAAGCCCATTTTCATTATGGAAAAAAACCCCTGACTTTAACATAACCAAGCCTGGCCAAGTTTATGCTACTGTCTTCTGGCAGTTAGTTATTTGACCATTCTTGGAAACTCGGCGTACAGCTTTTCAGTTAATCACTTGAAAAAAACGCTGACACACTTTGTTACAGGCTGACAGCAAGGGGGAAAAGAGCCTTCTTTTTCTCTTGAAAAGAAACAGAAGAAAGTTAAACAGAGCCTTTCTTCGGTTATTACTTCTGTCGGTTAACCCCAATCCTGCGGTAGTAAGCGAGAATAAGGGAGGAGGCGCAGCATAAGGCCGGCTAGTATTGAGTAACGGATTTATTCACAAGCCGATGGGGTGAATAATTAGACCGGGGTCACGTGACCCCCGTACCATTAAAGCCTGGGCCGCAGGAAATTTCACTGAAGGCGCTGCAGGAGGAAAACTCGACCCTGTACCGCAAGATTCCTGGAAACGCTAAACTTTTATATAAAAGACGCCTCAGGGCGTACATAATTAAGTTACTATTAGGGTTTTTTTATGCGTCAAGAGGAAAGAATTGAACCTTGGAAAATACAGCGCCCTGCCGCTGCTTGTAACCGCCACTAAGCACGCATACACACACCCCTTCGACACCGCCACAACTTTGGGGCAGGCCGGGTAGAAGTGCGAGGCCACATCTGACCCCGGGTTCTTCTTCTCTCTCCCCCCACCCCAAGCTTTTTTTGCAGCTCTTTAGGTGGACGCGTCGTCGTTGTTGTCGGAAAGATGCTTTTTGGGGCGGAGCGCGCCAGTCTCTTCGCGCTCCCGTCTAGTGCACATCACCCCGGGGAGGGCGGGATTGACTCCCCGGCAAACGGCCTGAGCATCCCCGCGGGCATCCGGAGCAAGGCGGCGTCTCTTAACCCCCCACCCCCGCTTCCAAGGCCACCCACCCTCCTCCTCCATCCCTTGCTGAGACCTCCGGGGGAGGTTCCCCCCTCCGCCCCTTCTCTGACCTTGTAATCCTCGTGGCCGAGGTTTTGCAGCCGCTGTTTGCCTGAGGGGGGGAGGATTTCCACGCCGCCGGCCGGGGGCTCCTTCGGGGTTGCCTCCGCCTCCGATTGCTGCTGTTGCTGGGGTTCCTGGTTCCGAGATGGGGCGCGGCGGGCTCCGCGCTGCCCCACGTTGAGAGCCCCGAAGTCCAACGTCTTGCTCTCGAAAGCGCCCTCCACGCTGCAGAACATCCCGCCATACTTCTGACGGGGCACTTGGTCGGCGGTGCCCGGGCGCGCCAGGTAGACGGGCAGATCTTCCTCCGCAGCCGCCGCGGGATCCGGCCGCTCCCGGCCTCTCCGCCCGCTGTGGGAAGCCATCGCTGAGGCCGGCAACCGCGGGAGTCACTGGGGTAAGTCAAGCCGGCGACTCCGTCTGCGAGGCAGAGAAAGAAGGGCGGGAGGGAGGGAGACTCCCCGGGCGCCGCTGGCTCGACTCAGGCGCGGAGTGACTGATGACTGAGAGAGAGAGAGAGAGAAAAAAGGAGCGCCTGCTGGGAGGGAGGGAGGGAGAGGGAGGCGGCGGCGGCGGCAGCGGTGGCCACGAGGACTTTTCACACCCGCGCCGGCGCTGGCCGCAGATTTGGCTGGGCAAAGCTGCGCTCACGCACGCGCTGCGCTGGCCGAGCAGCGAGTCTCTTCCCTTCGAAATCCCGGGCGGGATAGGCTTGCTACTTTCGTTTTTCCGCCCCTAGCGGATTCCTGACGCCGCTGGAGAGGCCGACTCTCTATCCCATCGTCCCCAGGCCTCCTGGCAACCGTTCGCAGTCCCGCATGTTAGGAGGGTGCTTGCTTGGGCGGGGGAAGCAGCTTTTGGGGATAGTGGGGACAAAGTTCCACGTCAGAAGAGAATGGTCTTTTTGCTGCGTGTTTTGCTTTGCTTTGCTTATAAACTGGCGAGGGGTCTGAAACGAGAAGTAAAATGGCCCTTTTTTAAAAAAAAAAAAAAAGGAAAAACTTTTCTTGTATGCTTGAATATTTAACAGGAGCTGTCTTCCAAGAAGAAACATTATTTTTCCCGTCTTACCTGTGTGGTTGGGTCTTTGGTTCATTGGCATAATCTCCATTAAAAGAAGTGTCAGGTAAAAAGGTAAAGCAGCAAAGTTCATACCTAAAATTAAAGATTTCATCAAGTTGAATTTCATTCCTT